AGGAATGCCCATTCGGTCCTGAAACGGTTCCCTCGTGCCAATGAATTCCTGGAGGAGCTGCGCCAGGGGACCATCGAGCGGGAGTGCATAGAGGAGATCTGCAGCTACGAGGAAGTCAAGGAGGTGTTTGAGGACAAGGAGAAAACGGCATGTACCACCCTGGGGCTGGGTGCCAGGAGCACAGATATAGCCTCGGGCATAAGCAGAGTGGGCCCTGGGGATCTCAGACGAATTGGAAGCAATGAAGGGAATCCAGCCGAGTCCAGGCCAGGGCCACTGGGACCACAGAAGAATAGATCACCTGTCCTTAGAGTCCCATCTGCCTGACTCTGGGGGCCTCCTGACTTGTGAGTGGTGTCCTTTGTCCTCAGGGCATTCCACAGCCTCTTTGATGGCTCTCAGAGGCTAGTCAGACAGGGCAGGGCGGGGGCAGCCGCAGACCCCACTGAATGTAAACCCAGACCTGCTGAAGGGCTCTGAGCTCCATCTGGGATACGAGAGCTTACGTGTAAGTGTCAGCCGCCTTCCTCCTTCTTTTGCAGATGGAGTTCTGGAAAGGGTACCCGAATGCAGTCTATTCAGTCCGAGACCCCGCGCAGAGCTCAGATGCCATGTACGTGGTGGTGCCCCTTCTGGGGGTGGCGTTGCTGATTGTCATTGCCTTGTTCATCATCTGGAGGTGCCAGCTGCAGAAGGCCACCCGTCATCACCCCTCATATGCTCAGAACCGGTACTTAGCGAGTCGTGCGGGGCACAGCCTGCCCCGGGTCATGGTCTACCGGGGCACCGTGCACAGCCAGGGGGAGGCCTCTGGGCACCGGGAGACAGGGAGCCCCCCGCAGGTGGTGCTGGGGCCTAGTCGCGGGGGTAGAACCACGGTCCGCCTCGAGAGCACCCTCTACCTTCCTGAGCTGTCTCTCTCCAGGCTGTCCAGTGCCACCCCTCCCCCGTCCTATGAGGAGGTGACTGCTCCCCAGGAGAGCAGCAGTGAGGAAGCGAGCGTCTCTTACAGTGACCCGCCCCCAAAGTATGAGGAGATAGTGGCCGCCAACCCTGACTCAGACAAGTAGTAGGACTCGTGTCCTGTCCAGCGTGAAAGTCTCGTTCAGGGGCCTCCTGTTTTCTTTTTAACTTTTTTAAGACTGTGCCACCACAAAACAGCCTTAGCCTCCTTGTTGCCAAATAATTTCCTATCCGTGGATTTGTAGGAAGTCGGTTGTCGAAGTCGGTTGTCAAAGACAGGTGGAGGGGGTAGGGATCATATGCATATGCATCACCTCTGGGGAGAGCCGCAGGCCAGAGAGCCGAGCTCCTCCAGAAGCCCTCACGCCCCTGCCATCCTGTCCTCCTGTCAGGGACTGGCTTCTCTTATGCCAAAGGAATCACCCCATTGAATTGATTGTGGCCAGAATGTCCACAGGCTCGGGCCCGGGGGCCATGCAGCTGGCCAAAGACCTGTTTGTCTGAAGCCTCGCCACAGAGATGAGGGAGAGAAGCCAGCCCTTCAGCGCCCTTTTCCCTCACTAGCCCTGTGCTTTCTGTCCTTGCTCACGTTTGGCAAAAGGACAAGGACAGAACAGAAACAAAAAGAGTAATAACACAACGAACACAATAAAACAAAACGATATCACCTGGGCCACTCATAGGGGTTCAAGGGAAGTCAGTCACGAAGGTCATCCGTGACACTCCCCTCCCCCGACACTCACCCCACACTCCCGACCAGGTTCAAAGGAATGTCTGGAGTCACCTGGAAGGACGACGGGGTGTGTGAAGGACGAGGGACAGGGCCTGGCCGACAGAGCTACCACCTCCTTCAGACTGGGGACGTTGCCATCTGGAGGGTAGCTCTGATCCTACTGTGCTTGGCCTCCCCTAGACCCTGGCTCTCCAGGCACGTGTACCAGCTGTGCTAAAGCCGCTCCCCATTGGCACGAGCCCTATCATAGCCTCGGGGAAACGGACGCTGCTGACCCTGCCTGTGGAGCCCATGGCCTTTGAACGGGCGGGGTCCAGGCTAGGGCAGAGAGCTGACGTTTTCTCCTTGTGAGCTTGGCCCGTAGGATGATTAAACCCACAAACTGGGCTTCCTCAGCACTGTGCTCTCTGGCTGTGAACTTTTAGGCTACTGCCCTTTTCGTGAGTGGGTGTGTTGAGATGAACTTGAATTTCAGACGGCTGGTTTCTTCTTAATGATGGTGCCCACCCGGGGAGAAGATCCCAAAGTGTCCCTTTTTAGAAATTTCTCTGTGGGCGAGAAGGGGAAGCTCGTGACCTGGGGTTGACGGCCCATCAGTGATTTGCTCTGTCATTAGCAGATGCTGGTCCACTGTTAGTAACCCCTTTCTGTGGCCCAGGAGCTGCCCACCTCTCCAGTTCAGTGAGGCTTCGGGCCGCAGCGGGGCAGAGGTGACCTGCCCTTTAACGGTCAGTGACCGCGCGAAAGACACTGTCAATACTGCCTCCCTACCCCTCCATCTTCATCCTCCTGGCCTCAGCACCAAACCATTTTTCCTCTGTGGTGCTTTAAAAAATGTAGCAAATTTTTGTGGGGCCCCGAAGAGTGCACAGCCAGGGTCTATTGGCAACCACAGCAGTTTAAAGCCCACTGAGAAGACAAGCTTCTCTCTGTCTAAACAGCTCTCCAAGGCAGGCCTCAGGCCTCGTTCTTTGAATGAGGCCCTGCCTAGAGGCCACAGATGACTTCCGGAGGCCCCTCCAGTCCTGGGCACTCACCCAGGAACGTGCTTCAAACGAGGAGGCTTAGTGTTCTTACCCCAGCGAGGCCACCAGCTTGGACAGCACAACCCTGTGGCCAGGGATTTCCATCCTTACCCCTACCTCACAGGCCTCCTGGAGGCTGACTGAGCTAATGCCTGTGGAGTGCTTGAGACACCGGGAAGCCAGTGCAGTTTGCCCTTAGGAAGATTCTTCTAGAAATATGTAGGTTATAAGGGACCAGTTCTAGCGGAGGTCTTTGTAGGACTCTGAAGTCGAGTCTCAACGTGGGGAGTCAGTCTCCTGCGAGTTGGACCGTTCCGCACCCCTGCTTCCCTTCCCCGAGAGCTCCCTGATGCCAGAGGTGCTGACCAGGTGGCATTCCACCTTTCCTTCCTTCCTCTTTTCCTCCCTCTGGGCCTCCAGCACCGCACTCCTGCCCTTTCTCACAAAGGCATTTGGGGCCTAGAAAGCCCCTGCTTTGTCCATGAGGGATGCTGGGGTCCATCCTATTCAGCCATGTTGGAGGACCCGGGGCAGCCTGAGGCTCCGGGGCCGGTCCCTGCCATCCCAGCCTTTCCTCGGGGGCCGTGCCTGCGTGTGACCCGGGAACACGGGAGAGAGCCAGGCGTGGGCCCCACTCACCAGAGCCAGAGGGAGGTTGCCCGGGACTGCCTGCTCCCTTTGGCCCCCGTCGAGCCCCTCTCTGCTGAGCTGCTTGCTGTTTGCAGCTGGCTGGAGGTGGGAGCGGGTGGGATGCAGGAGCCCGGCCCGTTGGAGGGCGGCCTGCATCCTGCAGGCACAGAGCTCTCCGGTTCAGGTGCTTTGCAGCGTTCTTCCACGTGGGGTTGCCACCATGGTCTCTGGGACGTTTTTCGCAGTATATCATAGAAAAAAAGATTGTACAGTACACCATGGTCATAACTCCTCGCGGTGCACATTTGGCTTTTACGAATGCCCTGTACATATCTTTTCAAACTCTGTCTTTGTATGGATGTTGATTTGATACAACGCTTAATCTGCAGTAGCCACGTTTTCATTGTTTTTGGACTTGTGTGTGTGTGTGTGTGTGTGTGTGTGTGTGTGTGTGTGTATACACGTGTGAACGTTGCCTTTTCTCACATGCTTATCTGAAACAATAGCCGGCGTGTGGCTATATTTGTACCAGGAGGGTTCCGGTCTGAAGGGAGGAATGTCACCTCCCAGGGCTAGGCAGCCTGAGGACAGGACCCTGAGTCAGGAAAGCCAAGATTAGCTGTTGGAGCAAGCCCGCCAGAGTTGCCGCCTTCTGCCCTCCTTCACAAAAGGTTTTGGATGAAGATGAAGCATCTCTATCCTGTGGGCCTCCCCACTGTGGGACCCCCCCCACACACGCCCTTTTGGAGCAGTGCCTCCAGCCTTGGCTTCTGTTCTGTGGGTATCAGCAGCTGAAGGAAATCTGAGCACTCCTGGGCCTTTTTGTTTTTTATTTTTATTTTTGGTGGAAAGACGTGTGACTGTTGACTTTGGGACTGGCAGGGCTGGTTATTTAGATAATTTTCACTTAAAAGAAAATAGAAAAGCCTTTGACAAATTCCTTGGAATGTGACTGTCACATGTTTTCAACCAAAATCTTTTAAAGGCTTTTTCAAACAAGCATCACAGTCTTGTCCCTCCCCTGCTACTCCCCATCACCTGGGGGTTTTCAAAACAAAAGCACAACAGGAAGTGGAGTGCGCAGGTGCCCAGTGTGTGCAGCCCTGCACAGCTGTGACGCACCCTGGCTGACGGACACGCAACACTGTGCCGTCTGGCCCGGAGGCCAGGGCCCTCCTCTTCTGCTTGCGAACCCCACTGCCACTAGTGTGAATTCCTTAGGGTGCTTCGGAAAATAGGAATCTGCCCAATTTGTTGGACTTTGTGTTTTTGGTAGCTTGAAGATGACGGATCCGGGTCAGGAAAGCATCCTTTTGCTAAGGAGTTGGAGCCACATGGTTCTTCTCTGGCTGGGGGGTTGATCTTTTCACAACCAAATGGCATCCCACAAGAAGAACTGAAAACAACACTGCCTCTAGATTGTTCCTTTGTCAGAGAGGTGGGAGGGGAGGGAGAGAGGGAGATTATTAAGAGAAACTCTCTGAACTCTCTTACCTACACTCTCTGTTTCTAGGAGTGTGCGTGTGTGTGCTATGTGTCATGCGTGTGCCCTCACGTTCAAGGCTGAGATGGAGAGCTGGGCAGCCAAGCTGCTGTCTAGGCTGCTTTTTCAGCTTGACAAGAACGCGGCTCCATCTCAGGATTGCACCGATTCAGAAACAAGCACATCCTCCCCACTGAACTCTACTCATACTAATCAGTATAATTAGCTAATTTAAAAGTACTTTAATCAGACTGCCTGCAACTATGGTAAAAGCCCATTAATTCGAAGCCCACTAATTCAAAACTTAGAGAAAATCACAACTTAAGATAATTCATGGTATCTGTGATTCTCACTCCGTAGAAATATTCAAGATATTCTTCCCTTCAGTTAGTTTTCAGGGTCATATGTGTAAGAGGGATCTAGTTTAAAATGAGTACCTTTTTCAAATAAAAGGCTCAAGATATTACGGATCCCTTCACCGTGCCTTCGGCAGTTCTCATTTGTCGGGCTCTTCGTGTACAGGATGATCTCTGGTTCTCTGTCTACTGTGGGAATGTTGGGTATGGCAGCTTTTCATCCTCCTTTATTTGCTCTATGAATAAAATACTTTGTGAACTAAACTGCAATTTAAAGTAATATAACTGTATATCTTGCTAAATAGTCTGTAAAGCAGATGTTTCGCTATAAGACCGGCCACTCCCATCATTCGCCCCCAAATATTCAAGCATATCGAGCTTTTCCTTTCAGACAGGCTGTGGGCGGTGAGTCTCTCTGCAGCAAGAATTTTCCTGACAAAGATATCCTAACAGCACAGCACACCCCCTCGGGCTCAGTGCCTCAACAGTTGTCCCACTGTACTGAGCTATGTGACCGTTGCCCAGTGCCTGCCCTTCGCCCGCCCCCAGCCCAAGTATTAACACAGATATTCAAGATTGGGACAAATCCCACAGCTGCTTATGCCTCCCAATCTGTCTCCCCTTACGGATGCCACTTTCCCAGGCCTGAACACACCTGCTCTTTCACTCTGTGGTTGTGAATTTGTGACAGTGGAAACCCTGATATGTGCAACTGAGCTTATAGACAAGATTACTGTGAAATGGATTAATTTTGGTACCACTTTAAACTGTGCTCGTAATTCATGTGTTGACCCATGTCAGCTGGGAAATCTGTACATTCAGTAATATGTCAGGTTTTCACTGGAGCCTGGGGGCAACAAACAAACGTACTTCTGATTTC